GCCCCCTCGTCCTCGTCCTGCTCCCCCTCCTCCTCCGCTTTTCTTTCCACCACCTCCTCCGCTTCCTCGTCCTCCTCCCTCCTATTCCTCTTCCTCCGATTCCTCGTCCTCCTCCTCCTACTCCTCTTCCTCCTCCTCCTCCTCCCCCCCATCCTCTTCCTCCTCCTCTTCCCCCCCCCCCCCCCTCCTCATCCCTCCTCCTCTTCCCCCCCTTCCCCCTTCCCTGCCCGCCCGGGGCGTCGGGGCCGCCCCGGGGCCCGCCTCCGCCATCGGGCCATCGCGGCCGCGGCTATCGCCTGGCGGAGAGGGTGGGCTGAGGGGGGGGTTCGCCGGGGTTCGCCGCCGCCCCTCAGCCCGACCCGTTCGCGACCCACAAGATCGAGTGGCGCCCTGTCAATGTCTCGATCGAGATCGAGAGCGAGCAGGACGCGGGCTGCCCCTCCTCGCCCTCGTCCTCCTTCTCGTCCTCCCCCCCCTCCTCGCCCTCCTCCTCTCCTTCCTTCCTCCTCGCGTTCCTCTCCCTTCTCCTCCCGATCCTTCATCTTCCTATCCTCTCCTCCTCCTCCTGATTCATCGTTTTCCTTCCCCTCCTCCTCTAGCTCGTCCTGCCCCCCCTGCATCCCAGGAGATGAACCTCCACTACACGTACGGCGTGCCCTGGCTCGTCGACGCCGCTGTCCCGAAGGGCGCGCCCCTCCCCGACGGCCCCGCGCTGGCCTTCAGGGAGGACGTGCCGTGGGACAGCGCCGACAAGTTGCTGAAGGTCGCCCGGGCCGAAACGGCGGCAGGGCGACGGGGGGGGCTCCTCCTCTCCTCCTCGCCCTGCCTCCTCGCCCCTTCCCTCTCTGCCCATCGGTCGTTGAAAGTGCTCATTTCTGGATGCCCAGGAATGCGCACTTTCAACGACCGACGGGCGCCCATGTCTGCTCACTCGGCCCCCCCCCCACCCTGCCCCTCTCGCGCATCCCAGGTCAAGAAGACCACGAACGAGAAGGGCTTCCTGGACAAATGAGGGGGGGGGCGAGGCGATGGGCATTGAAGGAATGGGTACAATGCCCAACTGCAGTTCCTGTTCATTTTGATCAGGACTCGCTGTCGGCGTCGCCGCGGCCTGTGAACTTGAGACACAGGGCCGCCTGCCCAACAGCGGCCGCTGCTGGTTTGAGACAATATTTGTCGTTGGGCATTGCACCCATTGTTTCCGCGCCCACTTCGTTATGTTGCATCTTCGGGGGGCCTTGTCTGTCCCGTCGCGGCCCTGCCCGCGTCGAACCCGCGTCGAATCCATGTCGGACGCGTCGGATCCGTGTCGGATCCGCGTCGAATCCGCGTCGGATCCACGCCGCATCCGCGTCGAGTCCGCGTCGAGCACGCGTCAGGCCCCCCCAAAAACAAAAAAATGAGACAGGCGATGCCCCCCGAAGATGCAACGTAAACTTCGGGCGCCCAGCCCCGTTCTGCAGCGGCCAGGCGGCCGCGGATCGCCACGACCGCTCGGGGGTCGAGCGGCGGCGTTTTCGGAAGAAACGCCCGGGCCGCTGCCCCCCCCCCCTTCTCCCGCTCGTTCCCTTTTCGTTCTTCTTCTATTCCGTTTCCTTGCCCCCCCCTCGCCAGCCCGCCTCCAACCGCCTCTGCCGCCCGCTCTTCGCGCCCGCCCCTCGCGTCCCCGATTGCTTGTTCCGTGTTTGTTCGGCGTCGAATTGCCGCGTTTGTTCTGTCGTTCGAGGGGTGCTAATCGTTGCGAGGTGTGCGTTTGGGGGGTTTCATGAAAATGAAGTAGGCATTGGCGGGGCCTCGGAAACATAACATTAACATGGCAACATGGCGGGTTTGAGAACCACTTGTAAAAGCTTATTTCCACACGTTTGTTGGTTCCCAGTGATGGTGCTGCTGCTGTCGCGGATGATGATGATGATGATGATGATGATGATGGTGATGATGGTGATTCTGATGGTGGATTGTGGATGATGGATGACGGTGATGATGTTGATGCTGATGTTGATGACGAGGAGTATGATGATGATGCTGATGATGATGATGATGTCCATGATGGTGTCGATGATGTTGATGATGACGATGATGATGATGAGGACGCTGATGCTGACGATGCTCACGCTGATGCTGATAATGATGCAGATGATGATGCATGTGATAATGATGATTGTGATGATGATGGTGATGACGATGCTGCTGATGATGCTGATGATGATCTTGATTCTGATGTTGACGACGATGATTATGACGATGCTGCTGCTGATGACGATGCTGATGCTGATGATGCTCAGGATTATGATGATGATGGTGATAATGATGAGGATGTTGACGATGATGATGATGATGAGGCGGAAGTATGCACGCCCGTGAACGCAGATTGTCTTGCATTTGGCATCGAATTGCCACTCCCTTTGAACCCCTCTCACTCCCTTCGGATTCCTCTGAGTTGACGCGCTTCCAGCACCACTGGGTTTCGAACACTGGTTTTTGAACCATGTCGATGTGTGCGCGCGGAGATATATATATATATATATATATATACATATAATTATATATATAAATATAAATGTACGAGAGAGCGTGATCCACCGCCGCTTTACTGTGGAAAATTGCCAACCTTTTCCTCCGGAACCCGGGGGTCGCCCCCCCCCCCCCCCTCCGAAAATCCCCCCCCCCTGCTGGAACCCCTCCCCCCCCCCCCCCCCCTTCCCCCGGCAAAACCCCCCCCAACCTAACCCCTCCCCCCCCCCCCCTCCCCGCTCGAAAACCGGGGGGGGTCACTACCGGTTCGAACCCCTCCCCCCCCCCCCCCCCCCTCCGGATCCGGAAAACTGGGGGGGCCACTACCGGTTCGCACCCCCCCTTCCCCTTTCCCCCCCCCCCCTACTCACCGCCAGCAAACGACTCCCGGTCCCCACCACCGTCCGCATCACATCCCCCACTGGTGTTCCCAGCACTACTGTCCTGTCGCACTGTCCCCGCTGTCCCCAGAACTGTTCCCACCACGGTTCCACTCTCCCCACTGTCTCCACGGCCCCAACCACTGCCCGACTATCCCCACTGTCCCCACTGTCCCACTGACTCCTCCGCTGTCCCACTGAGCTGTCCCACTGTTCCCACCACTGTCCCCACTGTCCCCACCACTGTCCCCACTGTACCTCTGTCCCATTGTCCCACCGCCGTCCTCGCCACCGCCTTCACCACTGTCCCCACCACCATTGTACCCTCCACTGTCCCACTGTTTCCACCTCATTCCCATTGTCCCCACACCACTGTCCCCACCACCACCGTCACCACCACTGTCCACTGTCCCCCCCTGTTCCCACCATTGTCCCCACCACTGTCCCCACCACTACCGTCCCCACCACTGTCCCACTGTCCCACTGTCCCCACCACTGTCCCGCTATCCCCTCGCCACTGTCCCCACCAACACCGTCCCCACCACTGTCCGCACCCCCACTCGGTTTTCGAGGGGGGGGGGGGTTCGAACCGGTAGTGACCCCCCCCGGTTTTCCGGATCCGGGGGGGGGGGGGGTGGGGGGGTTCGAACCGGTAGTGACCCCCCCCCCTTTTCATGATGAGCTGGGGGGGGGGGGGGGGAGGGGTTCGAACCGGTAGTGACCCCCCCCGGTTTTCCGGAGGGGGGGGGGGGGAGGGGTTCGAACCGGTAGTGACCCCCCCCCGGTTTTCCGCCAGCAGCGGTAGAACACGCTCTTTCATGTATACATGTATATGTATCTGTGTATGTACATGTATATGTTTATGTATATGTTTATGCTTATGTCTATGCCCATGTGCTGGTACCTGTGTCTGAATGGGTATGTATGTGTATACGTGCCTGCATACGTATGTGTACGCGTATGTGTAAATGTATATGTTGATGTGCAGGTGTATGTGTAATCATATGTACATGTACATGTATGTGCATGTGTAGATGGAAATGATTATGCATATGCACATATATACATACATATATGTATATGTATATGTACATGTAGACGTACATGTATAAGTGTATGTGTATGTATCCGTATTTGGTAGATCGATGCACATGTGCATTGGTGTATGTATGCTTGTACGTGCATTTTAGATGTATACGTATACAAATGTACACATATGTCTATGCATATGTATAAATGTGTATACGACTATGCAGGTGCATTTGTATATGTATAGGCGAAAGTCTATGTATGCGCGTATGTGTAGTACATGAGTATGTGTATGATCACGTGTTTTTTGCATCTGTAGTTTTGTACAGAAGTATGCAGGTGTAGGTGCAAGTGTACATGCTGTGTATACGTGTATGTATACGTAGACTTATAAGTATAGGTACACGTTTATACTCAGCATCGGTCTATGCATATGCATGTTTGTATATTTCTATATATATATATATATATATATATATCTATGTATCGGTATGTGTGTATGTGTCTGGTCATGCTTAATTTTTCGTGTGTCTGTTCGAATGTGTACATGTATACGTATACGTACATATAGAACATGTTTTGTGTATAGTATACACATTTAGGTGCAGGGTGAAGGCGGTATGAGGAGGAGGGGGTGGAGGAGGAGGAGGAGGAGGAGGAGTACATGAGGAGGAGGAGGAGGAGGAGGAGGAGGAGGACGAGGAGGAGGAGAGGAGGAGAGGAGGAGGAGGAGGAGGAGGAGGAGGAGGAGCGCGCCCAGGCCCCTCCGCCCCCTGGGTGTGACCAGGCCGCACGGGCGCCGGGCGCTGGCGTTTGGACTTGACCTGGGCAAAGGAGCCCTGCTGTCGTCCAATCGAAGAGGATGGGGAAGAGGAGGATGAGGAGGAGGAGGACGAGGAGGAAGAGGAGGAGGAGGAGGAGGAGGAGGAGGGGAAGGAGGAGACGTGGAAGACGGGAGGGGAGGAGAGGGAGGACAGGAGATGGAGGAGGAGGAGGAGGAGGAGGAGGAGGAGGAGGAGGAGGAGGAGGAGGGGTGAGTGGGCCCATCGCAGCTGCCGCAGCCCCGCGCTCCGCGAGGCCAGTGGCAGCCTGCGCGACCTGGTGCACAGCATGCAAGCTGGACCGCCCGCCCCTCCAGGGAGCCAACGGCCCAAGCACGACGACGCCAGCGACGACGACGACGGTGGCGACGACTGCGACGACTTCGACGACTACTTCGACGACGACTTCGACGACTTGGGCGACCACGACGGCGACAGACGATGTCGACGACGACCACGACAATGACGACGCCGACAGCGACGACGACGACAGCGGCGGCGGCGACGGACGACGACGACGACGACCACGACGACGACGACGACGACGACGACGACGACGACGACGACGACCGACGACGGACGACGGACGACCGACGACCGAGGACCGAGGACCGACGACCGACGAATGACGTCCGACAGTGACGATGACGTCTGTTCGGGCAACACTCGGCGATTCTCGGAGGCTTGTGGATGGTCCCCGAGGTTTTGTCAGAGGGAGGCGGTGGAGGAAGGGTGGAAGGGGGAGGAGCATGGGGAGGCGGAGGATGAGGAGGAGTAGGAGGCGGAGGAGGAGGACTAGGAGGAGGAGGCGGAGGAGGAGGAGGAGCAGGAGGAGCAGGAGGTGCAGGAGGAGGCGGAGGAGGAGGAGGAGGAGCAAGAGGAGAAGGAGGAGCCGGAGGAGGAGGAGGAGGAGGAGTTCTGGCTCAGGGTGTCGACGCCCCTGGTGGCAGGATGGTAACGGTCTGGGCTATTACCTTTCCATGCGGCTGTTCCTCCTTCGATTCCTCTGCCTCCCTTCTCTGGCCCTCTCTCTCGTCTTTGTCCCTCTGTCTCCTGCGACTTCTCCCTCCTTCCACCTCTCCCTCTGGGGGGCGTGTCGGCACTCACCCTCCCTATTCCTTTCGCTGTCCCTGGGTATCGGGGCCAGTCTCGTGGCCTCCTCTCTGCCTCTTTCTCGTCCTTCCTGTCTCTGTGTCTCTTCTGCCTGCCCTATCCCGTCCTTCTACCGCCTTTGGCTCCTCCCTTCCCTCACCCCCTGCATGTGGCCCCTTTTCCTCGTCCCTCGCGGGTATGTGGGACACCAGCTGGTCGGGTTGCACCCCCGACTCCCCTTGCCTCTCCCTCGATCTTCTTGTTGCCGACTGGGGTCTGGCGGTGGCCAGGGGTGCAGGGGGTTGGACCGTGCTGGGCTATCGTAGCCATGCCAGCCACATGACACGATGACTTCTGCCCCGCTTGTGTCCCGCTCGCTCTCGACCTGCTCTCTTGAGGCAGCGTTGTGCAGGCAGCACCGCTTTGCCTTGGATGGTCGAGGAGGAGAAGGACACGGGAATGTGAGGAGGTCGGGGAGCAGGATGCGGAGGAGGAGAGAAGAGAGCAGGAGGCGGAGGCGGAGGTGGAGGAGGAGGAGGAGCAGGAGCAGGAGGAGGAGAAGGAGGAGTAAGAGGTGGAGGGAGGATGGAGGGAGGAGGAGACATGAGGATGAGCAGGATTTGGATGAGGAAGCTGCGGCGGATGAGGCGGAAGAGGGGGAGCAGGAAGCGGTGGTGGAGTGGGGGGAGGAAGGGGGATGACTATATCAGACTTTTGGTCGATTTTGACCCCGCGCTGGCTCTGCATGGCGTCCGAGGAAGCATGGCGTCCGAGGAAGCATTCCAACTCTACTGCCTTCTGTGGTCGATGCACTGGGCCGCTGCACCTAATTAGAACCTAAGCGCGCGCCAAGCGCACGCGCGATGGTCCTCGTAACTCTACGTGTGCATGCGCGCGCATTGTGGCTTGTATTTCGTTGCGTGTGTGTATGTGTAGTAATGTGGATGAGTTTATTTGCCAGCCAGTCCCGTTGCCATGTTTTCCAGGTGACTGCAACCCATCGCTCCGTCGGGGAAACGGTGTGTGTGTGCATGTGTGGCGTTTCTGCTTCCGACCGCGGCGTGGATCCGCGCCGCTGCGACATGGCAGTATGAGTGTGTGTGTGTGTGTGGCTGCGTGTATATGTGTGTGTGTGTGTGTGTATCTGGAGGTGCACTCTGCGCGGTGTCGCGCCAATTATCTGTCGCTGTGCCCCAGCCTCGGTCATACCGCCCTCTGGACTTCTCCTTGCGGGCCGCGAATCAAAAAAGTGTATGTGTGTGTGTGTGGCTTCGTGTGTGTGTGTGTGTGCAGATCGCCGGAGCAGTCACCCTCTGCCCAGCCGCCGACGCAAAAAGTGTGTGTGTGTGTGTGTGTGCGTGTGTGTGCGTGTGAGTGTTTGTGGCTGCGCGCGTGTGTGTGTGTGTGTGTGTGTCTCTCTCTCTCTCTCTCTCCCTCTCTTTCTCGTTTCGGCAGCGTTGTGGCCTACGGAAGGCCGCTGTGCACGACAGAGCAGCACCTTGGAGGCGCGCGGCGAGGCGCAGCGGCCGGAGACGACCGCGGACCGTGCGATCGCGCAGCGCCTGCCTGCTCCCAGGCGAGGCCCGAGGCACCCGCGAGCGCAGCCCGCCGCTGCGGCATGCGGCCGCGCGGCGCGGGCCCGCGATGCTCGCGCGGCGCCGGGCCGCCGCAGGCGGGCGGGGCCAGTGCGCGTCCGGCGCGCGGAGCGCCGCGGCGGCATGCGCCCGCGCGGGGCCCGCGCGGGGTGCCGCGCCGCGGCGGTGGCGGCGTGGCTGCCCCAGGCTCCACAGGAGGAGGAGGAGGAGGAGGAGGAGGAGGAGGAGGAGGAGGAGGAGGACCTCCTCATCCTCCCTGCTCCCGCGTCCTACCTATGGTAGTGGCGGTGGGGTATTGGCCCATCACCAGGTTCTGGGCGCCATCCGCGCCCCGCCGTTCCTGAACTGCGAGGGCCACCCCTTCGACCCCGCGTGGTCGCAGTTCCGGCGCGCCGCGGTGCCGAACGCCCTCGCCGGGTTCCCGAGGGACGAGGAGCTGCGCGGCCTTGCCGCGGCGCTGATCCACCACTACGACGTGGTGGGGGCGACCACCTGGGTCACCCAGCTGCGCCGCGCCGGTGGCGGCGGCAGCGCCGCCGCCTCTGATCGTCGGCGCGAGCCCCGGGCGGTGCTAGGTGCGGTGTCGGGCGACGCGACGGTGGGCAGATCTGGGCCCACGGGGGCCGAGCGCGTCAGCATCGAGAAGGCGCATGAGGCGTGGGCCCGCGCGCGCCTGATGGACCTGGCTGGCGGCCTGGCGCTGCTGGGGCTCGACCCCGAGGGCAACGACTCCCAGGGCTTCTGCCTCTACGGCTACGTGCACGCGCTCTTCGTCGAGTTCAGGTCGGCGTCACCCCAACATAGTTACTAACACTGTGTGTGCGTCCCCCCCCCCCCAGGGGCGACGCGCGCACCGAGAAATCTCATAGTACATACGTCGTGGCGGACGCTTTCTGGCCACACCGCTCGGGAAGGATGGGTATACAACACGTTCGTGGCGGACGTGATGTACTACAAGCAGGAGGGGTATACTACACGTTCGGGTCGGACGCGCGCCTGCAAGGAGGACACATAGTATTAGTATACTAGTATGTCTCTGGGAATCCCGTCAGGCACTCTACCGAGGAGGACGTCCCGCCGGGGACCGCTTCTGTCTGCGAGTCCCGCCGCCATCTGCTCCAGCTGGCGCAGCAGGTCATCGGGGCCGATTCGACGCACGAGGCGGACTTTATGGAGGACTCGGACTGGCCGATCACGTCCCTCGACCTGCACCTCAGCCTGTACACGCCGGACGCCGAGCGTGACCTGGACGATGGGTGCCACGTGCTGTACAGCCCGGACCTCGACGAAGACGAACCGCCGAAGCAGACAGAGTTTCGGAGCTCTCCGCGGGATTCTTGCATCCAGGGCTGGACCTAAAAGGTGTTTTGGCGATTTCGTGGGCCGTTTTCGTTTCGACTGCGTTCTGCGATAGGGGTGGATTGAAGACACAACGAGGGAAAACGAAAACATAACGAAAACGAGAAACACCGTTTAGGTTCAGCCCAGCTGGGATCGGCACCGGGCCCCCCTCCCTGGCGCGCCGCGCGGAGCGCTCCCGGGGGCGGCGCCGGAGGCGCCAGGGAAGCCCAGCGCCGATGCAAGAGGTCCGCGCGGAGCTCCGGGAGTTTCTGTTGCTTGGCATCGCTCGGACGCGTGCATATTTCTTCCGGCGAGGACCATCGAGGAGCATCCTTGATCATTCGGCGAAAAAACTCGCACGAAGCCGAAAAAAGCACAGGGAATGGACGTCCGAGCGATGGCGAGGTTGACGGTCAGAAGCTTTATCTCAGCGTGTCGCTCCGCCGGTTCTGGCCCACCACGCTGCCGCGCAACACACACTACAGTCGGGGCGCTGGAGAAGAACCCTTTTCGTTGGGGAGGGGCTCCGTGTTCCTTGATTGCTTCACACTTTGCTTTAGGTTGTCCTCGGGTTTTCGATGGGAGATCGAAGTCCAGCTTGTGGAACACAGTCCTCACTGAGGGCTCCTTGGTTCAGCACCCCGACAGTATCCACGTCCCAGTTCCCAGGTGTCCACGGCCCCGAGCCTTTTCGATTCTCCCGCCCCTCGGAGCGGAGCGACACGCTGCCCGCTTGCAAGGCGTAGCGTGTCGCCAGGGCCGCCGCGGCGACACGCTAAGCAGCAATTCCCGACGGTCTGTCGTCCTCCCAGACCCCCGACGTAGTGATTCTGCACAACGTCGGCCCTCAGCGGTCTCGACCCATTCCCCGGGTTCCGTTTTGCATCCCGCGCAGTTTTTGACGCTCCCGGGGCTTGGCCAGGGCCCCCAGAGGCAGGACATGACCGATAACCGCCCGTCATAACTTTTTCACGATTCGAGGGTGTCTGAGTTCTGTATGGCGGCGGGCGAGGGGGGGACGCGAGAGGGTGCGGGCCTTCTCAGAAGGCTCGGAAGACCCCCGGCCTTCTGAGAATTGTTCGGTAAGCCTTCCCCGCAGACGCAAAAAACCTCTTAGAAGGCCGATCGCCTTGTGAGAAGCCCCGCCGCCTTCTCAGAAGGTTTTCTCCTTCTCAGTACCCCCACTCGCTTGCCGCCCCCTGAGATCCTTCAGCTCAGCGATCTGGCCTCAGCGTCTCCATCGCGACTGGAGAGACGAGGATTACTGAACTGATGGGTTCTGGTAATTATGCCAGGACGCCGA